ACTTAGGTGCAGAGAAGTTCATCACTAGAAGGCTGGCCCCCGAGCTGTGACTTTTTGGGGCCAGAGCAAGCAATACTTATTGATTAAGGTAGAGGGATTATGTCATCTGCTTTAATGGAGCGATTATCAACACCCAAGAAAATGCTCATCTTCTGAAATACTGAAGCATGCTGTTTAAGGAACCAGTGTTGAAACGACGTGTCATACAGTTCGTTTTTGTGCAAAGTTGTGGTTGTCTGGTTTGTCCTTTGTTCTCAAAGAGGACCATGACATCAGGGAGATGATGATATGACTTGCAATTGAATTTGATTTAAGTGAGGGAGGGCTGTGCAAAGTCACCAGCCTCACTTTCTCCTCCAGAGACATTTGGTCCAGTGGCTAGACATAGATCAGGACAACTGGAGATGGCCCAGGATGTGGTGGGAGACCTTGGCCTTTTTAAGCTAAGGTCTTTTCAAGTTCTCACTTTGAGTGAGGCAACTCCCATTCAGTGAATAGGCCTCTTTAAGAATTGAGTCAAGGGATGGCCCCTTTAATAATTCCAAAGAAAATGAAACTGGGAGGGGAAGACCCTGGGCAAAAGAGAAACAGTTGCTATTTACATTAAATCTGAGTCTGGAGGGCCCAAAAAAGAACCATTAAGTGGTGGGCGGGGTGAGGCAGATTAGGGCAGAGCTGGAAGAGGCAAGGTGAGGTGCTGAGTTGCCCAAGTGGGAACTGGACACCTGGGTCCCCAATTGTGGTTTCTCCTTCATTCTCAAAGAGCACCATGACATCAAGAAGATGATGACATGACTTGCAATTAAATTTGACTTCAGTGAGGGAGGGTTGTACAAAGTCACCAGCCTCACTTTCTCACTAGGAATCCTGCCCACTCCTATTGGTGTTACTATAAACCTTGACTGAAAGAATTTGAGTTCGTGAATTCATTCCAGGCAGACGGCACCCTCTACCTTGACATTTCAGAGTTCTCAGCAACCCCAAACTGCATCATCGCGGTTCCCAGCACCCCAGACTGTATCAGTTGGAATACATGAGCTTACCCAGAAAGAGTGCCTGATGTGAGGGGTACTCTTGAGTTCATGTGACCACGTAGACCACAGCTCATTTCCACTGTCAGACTGTAGACTTAATGAAGGTTCCATGCCACTGGTTGTCTGTTCTAACTGAAGAATTCTTGAACACTCAGGATGCCAAAAGAAAGAATTATTGCCTCAGTAGATGGGGCACTGGGCTGCATGCCAGGGAGACTTGGATTCAAGTTCTGCTTACAACAGACTGCCTGTCTGATTCTGGTTTGAGCTACAGTCTCCTTTTGGGAAGAAGAGTGGCACCTTGCCCTGGGCCATCTCCAGCTGTCCTGATCAATATCTGGCCACTGGACCCAGATGGCTCTTGTGCAAAATATTACAACCAGCGTTAGGCCATACCTGGGTTGAAATCCTGGCTCTGCCATTTATCACTATGTGACTCTGGGCAAATCATTTAACTTCTCTGAGGCCCAGTTTTCTCATCAGCAAAACAGAGATAATAATACCTCTGGTATCTACCTCATAGGATGATGGTAAGGCTCAAATGAGATGGGTGGAAAGCATTTTGAAAACCTTAAGGTGCCACATCATTTTCAGCTGTAATCGTTGACAGCACTACTCATGATTTGTGCAAAGTTGTGGTTGTGTGGTTTGTCCTTAGTTCTCAGAGAGGACCATGACATCACAGTGTTTTTCACATCTACTCTGCATGATTCCTCTTTGCCAAAAATGAAAACCTGGATGGAAAGAAAGGCTTCTATAAAATCAATATGCTGTACTTTACTTCTATAATTGGTAGTATTAGCAGGAGGGAAAGAAAAAAAAGTTCACGTCTGCTGATGGCATTTCCTTACGACAAGCAGTGCAGGAAATTACCTGAGATTATTCTGACAATTGCCGATTAAATCAATCAACACGTGTGGACTGGGTCCTTGCACTACTTCAGACACAGTCACAGCCTTGGGGAGCCTTCTGTTGCTTTGCTGCAGGCAGCTAGGTTGCAGATTTCCTTTCAGCTATTAAAGAATATGTAGGGGTGTGGAAAGAATATATATATATATATATTATATATATATATATAGGAATTACTGGTGGCATGGATCTGTTTGCTGCTAACTTCTTCTACCGTCATCACCCAAGAGCACAAGGTAGAATAGGTGAGGCTTCTCGACAGTTGATGTATTCCAGTTGATGTATAGGCAGACTGTCTACTCTTCATAATGAGTTATCATGCCAACAACACCCGGTCCGGCTTGGATAAGTCATTTCTGGGCCTCAATTTCCTTCTAGGATCTTTTCCAACTCTATAACTCATGATCTCATTCTTCACCTGATCACTGAACAACTACACTAGATATGCGTGTTCTATTTCATTCTCTATACCCTACCCAGGACCAATCACCTCTTTAGGGAATCTGTCTTGCAGTGTTGAAATTCTATAGGTCTAGTGTGGAGATTGCCTTTGAAATAAAGGGACATGTTTTATTTAGCCCTCCTCTTACCTATTCCGTATCATTCATTTTCCCAACTAGGATTTGCAGGACCACAGAATCAAACACAAGCAGACACACAGACCCTCTTTGGAGGTGATGTGACACTACTTCAATAACTTCTTGGATGTGAAATCATTATATTTGCATCAGATCCTGGAGAAGGAGGTGAGAGGGACTGTTGACCTAGCTAGATGCTTTCAGGAAATTGCCATGTTAGGGATGGGGCTGCTACCTCATCATGGAGAAAAGATTGTAAAATCATGCAACCAGTTGGCAGCAGAGACACAGACCTCAGTCCCAAGCCCACCCTGTTATGGCTAGTTTCTCAGTAGGGCCAGGTGATCATCATCAGCCTTTGATTGGTGAGGATTCTTCCTTCCATGGCCTAACAAGATTCTGAAATAATAGAAATGACCCTATTCTCTATTATGTGCAAAGGTGGGGCTTCAAGACTGGAGAGGGGAATGAGGAGAGAAGACCAAGGGAAGAGGTGGGATTTACCCCCCTAAACTTAGATGCAGTTGATACTTACCTACAAGGAGCAATATCAGAGTTGATGTATTTCAAAGCTGAAAGTGACTTTAAAGGTTACCTTAAAGATTACCTAAATTTTATTTTAAGACTGGGTCTCCTATCTTGCCCAAACTAGAAATGCAGCAGCCACTCAAGTATCCAATCCCACTACTGATCAGCACAGGAGCTTTGGCCTGCCCTGTTTCTGACTTAGGCTAGCAAATTGGTGCTCCCTTCCCCACCACCACCTCCCCACAAGCGTTCACCATACTGGTGCCGGACCTGGGTGTGTTTACCCGACTGACTTAGCCTACTGCAGCTCAAACTTCCTAGGCTTACATGACCCCACAGCCTCAGCCTCACCAGGAGCCAGAACTAGAAGCAGGCATAGCCACTGTGCAGGGTCTCATTCCCTTATTTTAGAGGTGAAGGAACTGAGGCTCAGAAAATATAAACAACTTATTCAACATAATGCAGTTGGTGGCTGAGCTTAAGACTAGAGGCCCTGCCCTCCAGTTTTATCCAATATTCTTCCTACTCTACCACAGCTGCCTCCTGATTTATTTGGTAAAGTTCTCCACACTTTCTCTCATGTACAATCATAGGAGTAGGATAGAAGGTTGATGGAAGCAACTCCTTTACTGTCCCAGTGCTCAATTCTAGGACATCCTAACTCATTTAGCAAATATTTAAGTACTTGCAAATGTACACAGCCACTGAGCTAGGCACTGGGAGAGAGAACTGATAAAGCAGTCTACCATCATGGAGCTCACAGTCTAGTAAAGCGTAAGAAACTAACACAGATAATTCTAATACATGCATTTTTACACTTACCAAAAAAATGCTATATATGTTCTGAGGGTCATTATTGACAGAAGAGGTGAAGAGGGTAGGCTTCATGGAGAAAATGACATTTGAGTTGGACTTCAAAGGATCAATACAAATCCAATATGCCGAAAGAATGAAAGAAAGTATACTAGGCATAGGTATAAAAAAAGGCATGGGGAGGTCAGGGCAGTCTATTCAAGGAATAGAAAATAATCCAGTTTAGCTGAAGCATTTTGTGGAAAGCAGAAATATGAAATAAGGTTTGAAAGGTAGGTTGGTATGTAACTGTAATGATAATAATAGCTGACATTTCTACAGTAGTACCTACTATGGTGCCAGGTACTTTGCTAAGGGCTTTACAATTATTTTTTCATCCTCACAACCACCCTGGGAGATAGGTGCTATTATTATCCCCATTTTACAGATGGGGAAACTGAGGCAAAGAAAAGCAAAGTGACTTGCCCAAGGTCACACAGCTAGTAAGTGCTGGAGGCCAGATGCGAACTCTGGTCGAGGCCCAGTGCGCTCTATTCACTGTACCACCAGCTGCCCCAGAGAAGAGTATTAAATACCAGGCAATGAGCTTTATTTAACAGGCAATGAGTCACTTAAGATTTTTTAGCAAATGACTATATCTGTGCCTGAGAAAGATTTCTTCCCCAGACTATACCACACAGGGGTCCCAGAATCTCCTATCTATTTTTCCACACCCAATAACTTCAATTGTTCTTCTATCATGGCAAATGTATACTTAAAAGGATTTTTGGTACCTCTGGGACTTGTACTCACACCCTACAAATTCTGTATCCAAATAAGTTCCTTATATAGCAACCACATGCTCTTAAAAAAGATACTGTTTACAAAGGCATATTAAAAAAAAAAAAAGCTTCCTTTTCCTGAAATCAAGATTTCAGTCACCACAGCTACATACAACTCTATCTGTACTAACATTGCTACTGCATTCCCAACTAGAGGTATTAAGAAAATGGAAAAGAACAAGAGGAGATAACTGGAAAAGGAGAATAGGATAGAATTGTTGGTGGAAAGAGATGGGACAGAGTAATAGGGAAAGAGAAGGGATGAGGTACTAAGATTATACTTGTAAGCAATTCTTGTCAAGGAAAAAAAGGCAATATTTAAATGCACATTGGTCTAGACATCTTTATTTTGTGCTTCGTTTTTCAAAAGGCCTCTTTATCAAGAAAAATTCCTTCATCTCTCTCTCTCTCTGCAGGGAACAGGTGTGGAATCAACCCCATCGGGGCAGACACAGGCAGTGGTGAAACTTGGGTGGGGGGGGCCAAGAGTTGAGATCATAGAACAGCCCATTCTTGGGCTGATATCCTTTCAGAGATCACTAGGGCAATAGGAAAGAGAGGAATGGGCTGGCATAACAGACAGTGTTCCCCTAGAAAACAGTCTGTTTAGGACAGTGTTCAGAGACAGCTGAAGCCTGCTGAAGTGCAGGTGGAAGAACGCAGGAATTCAAAAAGAGACTCTAGGATCTGCAGAGTGCATGCAGCTCAGTCCAGAGTGCCTGGGAAAACAAAAGGCAAAAGAGAATAAGGCACAATGAAGGAAAAAGCTTTATTCAAACCTGGCTACGACAAAGGGAAAGGGAAACTTGCCTTTGCCCTTGGCAATAAAGGCAAAGAGCCACAAAAGGCTCGGCCATGTCTTATCCATCTCTGTAATCACACCACACCTCACCCAGCGTCTGGGCAGTCAACAAGTGGTTGCTAGATGAAATCAGTGGTTAAGAACAAAGAGAAACGTTTTTGAAGAACACACATGCAAACAGTTCCAAAGGAAAGGATGGGCTGCCACATGGGCAGGAGACTCCGGAAAAAGGGGCCAGAGGTGGAAATCAGCCAGCATAAAACCAGACACCTCCCACCGCACTTCACTCCACAGATTACTGTGAGAATCAAAGGAGACAGAGGAAAAAGGGTGCCAAGAAAAAAAAAGATGAGCTCATGGACAGGATGAAGTGTCACTGCACCCTAAGAGACAGTGAGCATGAAGGCTTGATAGGAACTGATAATACAGTGACAGAGGCATAAGCAGAGCCAAGAAAATATACCCAAACCACCCAAACAAGGAGCTCTCCTAAAGCCCAAAGAGTGGTCATCTCACTTTCACTTTAGGGCCTCCACTGGGAAAAGAACCCACAACTTCCTGAATCCACCCATTCTACTTTGGCATAAATAGACAGAGTTAGGAAGTTGTCCCTGAATATTCCAAGTACCAATATTTAGGGTGGAATGGACCTGGGCCTGTGAGTTCAGTGGTATGGGAAACTCCTGATAAGGAAACGTCCCCTATCAGCGCAGATCATCCCCTTCTCTGGAGCCTAGTCCAAGAGAAATTCCTGGGGCCCTGAAAAGTTAAGTGACTTAGCCAGGGTCACACCACCAGGAAGTTTCAGAGGTATGAGCTAAAGCCAGGTCTCCCTAACAGGAAGGTAGGCTGGCTATCCATTCACTATACCATGCTGCCTCTCAGAGGGAGGTGGACAACATGATTAAAAGCACAGGAAAACAGCTAAGATTAAGAAATTTACTTCCAATTAACTGCCTCAAAGTAATCATTTTAAATGCCACTGCTTCTTGAAAGGAAAAAAGATGGGCTAACAGACAATGACTTGTAAACTGCTAAATTAGCAACCATGTCTGCATCTAACATTAGAAATAAGAGAAAGATAACTTAGGTCTAATGATGGGGAATAAACAGGCATTAATCATATTCAGTGGGCTTTAAATCTCCCATCACTTTAATTATTAGCATTTTTCATGAAGACGTTCCAGTTCCACAAGTAAAGAACCTGAGAATTAGAAGTCATTCTATAGATAAAAAAAAAGTCTCACCGAAGGCTTTTTACTATGGGGTTTAGAGCTCAAATTATTAATACATAATAAGAAGAATAAGAAAGGCAGAAAACTTACCTTCTAGAAAAGCAAATTCATCCACAGCTTCTATTGCATTATCTATAATATAAGGTGAAAAGGAAAATAAATTGATATAGGCAGACACAGGGCACTTTAGCTCCTTGGCAACAGAACCAAAAGAAGTCCAGATCTACCCCATTCATTCCTGGAATAGTAATTTGGGGGCATACTCTCATTCCTCACCATCGCCAAGATATGAGTGAGCATAAGAAATCCTAGGGAATATTTAGTGAGGTAGGAAAAGAAGGTACCTCTCCACAAGACCAGTATAGACTCTGAACTCAAACCTGTTGCCTCTTTAGTGTGAAAGTTATGAATGGCAAGTTTAGGGGGGGAAAAAGCAGCAGCAGGGGAAGGGGAATTGGAAAATGATACGGACAAAAAATGATGAAACATGGTCTCAGCAAGTTAAGATGTTGTCACCTTAAAATGACAGTAAGACTACAAAACCCCCAAATCCAGCTACTAGATTAAAATGCAGTATCAACCATGGTACTGAGGACAGCCCTACACAAAATTTAAAAGCGGGTGAAATTTTTCTTTGATACCCCCAACCTTCTTACAGCTTTGCCACCCTTCTGCCAAGATAGTACCCTCATTTCCTAACCCACTTCGCAACCCCACTCACTCCCTAACCCAGAAACTAACAGGCTTAAAAGTGGGCATTTCAGACATGAGACCCTGTCACCCTCCCAACAGGGAGAATGAAAAACAAGCGCAATGAGACTTTACCCAGGTCCTTCCTCTGGAGAGTTTTCCTTTTCCCTTGTTGGGCACAGAAATAAGCATCTCTTGCAATTGTCTCCACAAACAGTTCCTATGGCAAAAGCAAAGAAAAGATCATATAACTGGGTCTCAGTAAGAAGAAGGGGAACTCTGCTTCTTGCTGACAAATGAAGGCAGGCAGAAGATGAGAGATAAGGAGAGGGAGGTGGTCAGTTCTAAGGCACCAATATAACCTTACTACTATTCAGCATTCCTTCCCTATTCTTACTAACTCCTTTTCTAATTCTCCATAGCAGTGGTTCCAATCTTCTCCTCTGTCCTCAAGCCCCCAAGCATACACCTAAATCCCAACATCAGCCTTCTATTTTACTGGGAAGACCGAGGCTATCAGATGGGTTGTTGTTGTTGTTCGATCATTTCAGTCACGTCTGACTCTTCATGACCCAATTTTTCAGTTTTCTTGGCAAAGACACTGGAGTGGCTTTCGATTTCCCTCTCCAGCTCTTTTTACAGATGAAGAAACTGAGGCAAACAGGATGAAGTGACTTGCCCAGGATCAAATAGCTAGGAAGTGCCTGGGGGTAGATTTGAATTCACAAAGATGAGTCTTCTTGACCCCTCACTGACCTATCAGATAGGAGTGCCTTCAAATACCCTCTACTACTCCTCAAATCTTCCCAGCATCAGTGTCCATTCTATCCTCCTCCCCTTCATTTTCAGAGGAAGATGTATTTACTTCTTACTAAGGCTGATCTTCCAACCAGTGCACTTAATCCAATCCCCTCCTGCCTCTAGGACCTTGTTCTTGGAATCATTCCTCCTCTCTCACAGATTTGCAATATCTCCCCCCCTTCTACACATACTCAAGATCTCCCCAATCCTAGAAAGCTTTCCCTTGACCCTTCCATTCCAGCCAGCATGACCTTTACTCCCCTTCAAAGTCAATCTTGATACTCTTGCAATCTGGCTTCCCACCACAGTATTCTACTGAAACTGCTCTCTCAAAGGTCACCAATGACCTCCTTGACCTCTCTGCAGGATTTGGCACTGATCACACCCTTCTTACATAAATCCCCACTCCTCTTCTTTTAGTTTCAGATACACCACATGGCCCTGATTCTCCTACTTCTCTAACCATTCCTTTGTCTCCTTCCCTGACTCCTCAACCTCTTCTCAACTCTTTAAGGGGTGGAGAGGGAGAGAGGAGGGTGCTTGATGAGGTTCTGCACTTGGCCCTCTCCTCTCTATGCTTTCTCTTTTGGCAATTTCATTTACTCAGAATTTCAGAGTTGGAAGGAATCTCTAGTCCAATCCACACCTAAAAAAGAAACCCTTCAACAACAAAATTAAATTCAAAGAGCATTTACTAGGCTACTAGGCTTCAAGTATTGCTTCTGACATATATTCCATGTGACTAGGCAAGTCACAACTTTTGAATGCCAAAAGCAACACATTTAAGAGTACTAATTGTAGAAAAGTTGCCGATAGAGGAAATATCCTCAGCAGAAATTCCCTATATGTTTGAAATCTGAAGTGCCAACGAAATTTTTTAAAAAGGAGTGGTGGTGGAGAGGGAGAAACAAGGAACTGTTTCTGGCCTTGGAGATACTGACTGAAAAAAATTAACAGTCCCTTCCTTTAAGGAGCTTATATTTTACCAGAGACTATAATATGTTCACAGCTAAGTACATAAAGCAAATACAGAGTAAGATACTCCTTCAAGTAGTCATCTAACCTCTCTTGGAAAGCTCCCAGGAGGGAGAGCCTGATACTTCTTGAAGCAATCCATTCTACTTTGGATAGTTCTAAAACTGCTAGGTTTTTCTTCACATCAAGCCTAAATTTGCATCTTTGAAACTTCTACCCAAGCTCCTAGTTTTGATCCCTGGGGCCAAAGAGAACAAGTCTAATCCCTCTTCCATTCAAATACTTGAACATAACTATCAAATCCCCCACATACACACCTTCCCTTCTCTAGACTAAACCTCTCCAATTCCTTTAAATAATTTTCACTGGACATGAACTTGAGACCACTCACCATCCTAGCTGTCCTCCTCTGGACCCTCTACTTTGTCAATGTCCTTCCTTAAAAAGTGGCACCTTGGGGAAGGTAACGGCAAACCACTCCAATATCTTTGCCAAGAAACCCCCAAATGGGGTCACAGAGTCAGACACAACTGAAAATGACTGAACAACAGAACTTAGCAGTATAGCTTCAGCTATCACAGAAAAATCACAAGTTTGTCACCTCAAGCCTTCATTTCTCTCCCAAGCTCTAGTGTCAAAAAATAAGATTCCTCTCTGGTCTAAAACCATGATCCAATGATCCTGTAAATTGCCTGCAGGACCTCACATCTCCCCAAGTGCCCCAACAGCTGCTCAAATTCGACATGCACAAAACTGAGATGACATCTTACATCTAAAATCTGGCTCCCTTCCAATTTCACTATTCCTACCAGTTGCATCATTATTTACCTAGTCTCTACTTTTCTTAATTCTTCCCTGTCCCTCACCTCACATATCCAATCAATTGCCAAGTCCTGTCTACTTAATCTTACAAACTCTTTCTCCTCTAACCCTTGCTTCCTAATCCCACTAATATGACTCTCGCACAAACCTCATTACCACCTACCTGGATTATTACTCGAGGTCTTTCCCCTTAACCTCTCCTCCCCTTCCAAGATATCCTTCACACTGCCATCAGATTCACCTTCCTTATCATGGTACACAGACCACAGATCGGGAATTAGAAGTCACCTAGAGTGGACAGGGTAAGAAACTGGCCCTGGAGTCAGAACTAGACCTAGGTTCAAATCCCAGCTCTGCTGCTTACCACCTGTGTTACCTGGGGAAAGTCTTTTCACTTCTCTGTGCCTCAGTTTCCCCTCCTGTGAAATGAGAGGATTAGAACAGATGGACTCTGAGGTCCTCTCCAGCTCTAGAAATCCAGGAACCTCCTCATTTTACAGAGGAGGAAATTAAGGCTCAAAGACATTTAAGTGATTTGCCCAGGATCACTCAGTTAATAAGTGTCTGATATGATCTTTAAACCCACTTCTTCCTAAAAGATTTTGCACCAAGTTTGTCAACTGAGCTAACAGAGCTGGTTAGGCAACTCCCCCAGCCCCACCCTCTTCCACTAAGTTCCTCCCAACCCCGCCCCTTATCCGCGTGGCCCCGCCCCTAACTCTCCAGGCCCCGCCCCTAGCTCCCAGGGCCCCGCCCACGCGCACCGCGGCTCGAGCCAGGATGAAGATGGCTTCCTGGCCCGCGAGTGTCACGTCTGGGTCCGCCTTCACCAGCGCCTTCACCCGCGCCAGGGGCAACCGCGACAAGCGGGGCCCGGCCGACGCTGCCGGGGCCTGTGGTGGAGGGGCCGCCGCCGGCGCTGCCTCTCCACTGGGGCCCTCCTCCGCCACTAGCGCCGCCGTCGGGCCGATCGTCACCGCCGCCGTGGCCGCCGCCGCCATCCCGAGCCCCAGTGCGTGCCGCGTGCGCGTTCCTCCAGTCCTAGGCGCGGGCGCACGGGTGCGCGGGCGCCTGCCCTTTTCCCGCCCTGGACCCTTGGCTCCGCCCCTCCTCGCCACGCGCCTGCCCCAGTCCCGCCCCCACCATCCCCGGGGCAGCTGCTGGGCTGTATTACCGTGTTTACTCCATGTACCTCGTGGCGGCATCAGACGAATCCTGTGCTTGTCGCCTTCTGTATCTTACAGTTCTGGGTCTCCTGGGCCCGCCTTGAGGTTCAGCCCAGGGCAGGACGCGGCAAGAGCTCGGGGAAAACTTAGTATATGGTTTGTCCCTTAAAGGATCTGTAAGAATAGATTATTTTTAGGCTCAATGAAACTTTACACGCGTGCCCAACTCAGGTTCTCTGCTTTAAGGAGTGATTGTATGTCATTAAAAACCCCCTAAATTCCTGCAGAGTCCAGAGGTCTGCATGGAAAGAAAACGTGATCAGGCCTTCAGGAAGTTGATGAGACAGATTATAGGCAACACCTGGAAATCTTTAAGCAAGTGCAAAGAAATTAAGCACAAATGGAGCCCCCTTCGGTGTTGACTAAACACAGAAAAGGTGGTGACCCTTGAGGAAATGAATTTTGAAAGCCGTTTTCTTTCTTCTCTTCTTCAACCCTCCCACTTTTCCAAATTTCCTTTCATTTTTCTACCTCCTGACTCCACCTTCTTTTGCTCTTTTCACCGTCCTTTAGCGTGGTTTGGGGGGAAAGCGCTAGATATAAAATCAGAAGACCTGGATTCTATTTGTGACCATAGAAGTGACCTTAGAAGTGACCTAGTTCCCCATCTGGGTAGAATGATTTGTAGGCACAGTGATTCTCAGGATAAACAAACAGCCCCAGAAGTTTTATCTCTAGTAATGTCAACAGGAAATCACACCTTCAGGAAACTTACTGAAAACTAGGTTTTTTACAAGAGGAGTGAACATAGGTGTGGAAATAAAAGCTGGAGTAAATAATTCACAGGAAGGGATACCAGGAAGGGGCATGAGGTGGGAAGGGATTGTTGTTGTGTCCTCCATTCTAGAAGAGGACCGTAACATTGAGAAGATGAACATATCAGTGTTGTAGAAATGTAAGAAATTGTGTGATGATATGCTGTAGGAATATTGAGGAAATGTTACTGCCTCAAAATTTTCATTAACATCTTCCATCATATTTTTTATCTATAAGGTCAGCCACAAATTGGAGGTATTTTTTTTTTAGTGTAGTCTCCATTATTGCAATAAATGCCATTTTTCAAATTTTAAATTACTTTGCTTTACTGGAAACAAAGAGGTAAAGGCCACTAGAACACCCATCCCTGAGATGTTATGATCTCCCAGCATCAAGCCTCTGATGTCCCCCTGAAGTTCCCAGGTTCCTTTTTCCCATAGCCTAGGGATAGACAGAGGGATCAGGAAATTCAAGTGAGTAAACAACCCACAGGGAATTGGTACTTAACTCATCTTCTCTCTTTCTCTCCAGTGTTCAATCAATAGAGCAGATATCCAGGGCATAGGACTATGGATTTAGAGCTGGGAGGGACCTTAGAGTCAATAGTCCATAAACATTTGTTGTTGTTCAGTACTGCCTGACTCTTGTGACCCTATGGACCATAGCATACCAGGCCCTTCTGTCCTCCACTGTCTTTTGAAATGTGTCCAAGTTCATGTTCATTGTTTCCATGACACTCTCTATCCATCTCATCCTTTGAGGTTCCCTTTTCCTTTTGCGTTCAATCTTTCCCAACATCAGAGTCTTCCGATGAGTCCCATTGTCTCATTATGTGGCCAAAGTATTTAAGCTTCAGCTTCAGGATTTGACCTTCCAGTGAACAGTCTTTAAATATTGATTGATTTGATCTCCTTGCTGTCCAAGGGATTCTCAAAAGTCTTCTCCCGCACAATTCAAAAGCGTGAATTCTGAGCTCAGCTTCCCTTATAATCCAACTCTCACAGCCATACATTATTACTAGAAAAGCCATGGCTTTGATTATATGGGCCTTTGTCAGCAAGGTGATATCTCTGCTTTTTAGTATACTGTCCAGATTTTCCATAGCTTTCCTTTCAAAGAGCAAGCATCTTTTAATTCCATTGCTACAGTCACTGACTGAAGTGATCTTTGAGCCCAAAAATATAAAGAGAGAATGATTAAACACTAAGGAAAAAGGGGAAATTTGAAAACAAGTTTATTTTGATTATAAGAAACATGCAATTAACTTAGATTTTGTTAAAATGTTTGTTTTGTGGCAGGAAAATAATTATAAAACAAGTAATAGTTATTTTTAAAAAATAAACCAAAAAATAATGAAGTCTCTCCTCAAAGAGATCCTTAAAGAACAGACTCAATCAACAAGTATTTATTAAGTACCTAGTATGTACCATGCACTGTGTTAAGCACTGGAAAGACAAAGCCAAAAATGAAACCCTTGCCCTCAAGGAGCTTATATTCTACTTGGGAAAACGACATGTATATATAAAAGTTTATATAAGATATATACAAAATTAATACAAGTTAATTGAGCAGGGAAGGCATGAACAGCTAGTGGAGATCAGGAAAAACATCATGTGGAAGGATGCACTTGAGCTTTAAAGGAAACTAGGAACTCTAAGAGGCAGGGATGAGGAGAGAGGGCATTCCAGGCAAAGGGACCAGGCCGTAAAAAGGCGAGGAGGTGAGGAATGGACTTAAATCCAATGTTCTTTATACTACATCAGAATTAAAGATAAAGCAATTATCAATATCTACAAACACTAACATAAAATTATGCTACAAGTCATAAAATGTAAGAGATGGATGGTACCTTGGAGATCATTTTGTACCACCCCCTCATTTTATAGATGAGGAAACTGAGGCCAAGAAAGCGTAACTCTTTGACCAAAGTCACATAGCTAGTTAGTGGCAAAGATTTGGAATACAGCCTGACTCCCAATGAAGTTCTCTTTCCACTACACCAAACTGCCTCTCTTATTCAATGTCCTATCCTGTATATGGATTGTGTAATTGGCCCTGAAGTACTATTAAGTGTACATATAATACATAATACAACCATTGTCTCATAATCTTGACTTCTCAGAAACTAATATGCTTGCTATAATAAACGTAAACTAGTATTTGACTAGCAACTTGGCTTGCCATTTTAGAATTAAAAAGACATTTGGGAGATGACTTGAATGTACTACATTGTAATGACTAGCCTGGCTCCATATCTGTATCATTGCAATTTCCACAGATGGGGCCATTTAATGACCACCTGCAAGCTTAGTTCCACTTTAGGACCCAGGCCCTAGGGCCAATACAGCTCTTAAGCAGAGGAAAAGTAAAAGCCCGTAGATGCATAGGTCTGTTGGCTCAACATTGCCAGCCTTACTGCTGGTGCCACTCAAACCACATATCCTGGTCCTACTAATTGGCTTCCTTGCTTATTCCTTATGACCAAACCCCCACTTTATATCTCAAGTCCACTAAATGGGCCCATGTCTTTTTCCCTTTGCCTATATCCCTAATTTGGTACCTCCTTGGTGCCCTAATTCCTCAATCAATCAAGCAGATATTTATTAAGTGCCTACCACATGCCAGGTACTATTCTGTGTGCCAAGAAAAAAAAATGAAACCATTACATTCTAACCTCCAGAGATGGAGTCCTGTTTAACTCTCATCAATCCTCCCAAAGACAGGAATTCTAAATTCCTCAACTCTGATCTATTACCAGACTTCATTGACACTAGCTACAAGCCAAACCCCTTCCTATGATTTGTTGTCAAAATCCTCTGACATCCACCCCCTTGTCCACTGTTAGGTTCTTTTCAGATCATCTGCCCCACTCCAGCAGGTCTGTCTAGTTTCCAAGTCATGACTACTGTTAAACTGGCCTGTCTTAGCAACTGAATACTGGATTCCTCTAGAAATCTCTTAAAAGCTGTCCAGGGAATTTGTATTTGTGCCCTTTTTTCCTTTTCTTCCTTCCTTTCTTGTTTCTTTCCTTCCATCCATCCTTCCTTCTCCCCTTCTCAGTATACAGGGTATTCCAAAAGTCTTAGTGCGGTTTTAAACTCTAGTAACTTAAAACTGCACTAAGATTTTTAGAATAACCTGTATTTCCCTATAGAAAGTAAAGGCATTCAAAAATCATTCCATTAAATGCTTTTTTCAAAAATAGTAATTATAGTATCTATGTATTTGAAAGTACCATGAAGAATTTTAGCTGTGTCTGATTAAAAGCAATCTTTTTCATCTAGTCTTTTTGGTCTTCTTATTTTCTTTGTTTTTCCATAACTTCTTCCCTCCTTTCATTTTCAGTAGCTTCTGCCCTTGCAAGGAGCAGTTATCCTCTCAATATTAGGACATCCTCTGATATTTATGACCTGATGGAACCCCCTTACAACTTGCTGAAGAAGGAAAACTGGGATTCTGGAGCAAGTAGGTTTGCACAGGACTTTGCACTGTAAGATCTGTCTCCACTCCTCTAAAGGATCTCTTCCTCAAGTAGTCCTTTGTATGATGTCTCCCATGGTCCCAGGAGTACCTCCCTCCCACATAAAGGTTTAGACTCTAGACTCATATAGACTTGGTTCAGTCCTAGGGGAGACCTCGCCCTTAAAAGAGGAAATCAGGCTTTTTCTTACATTCTCCTGATCATTATGCTTCCACCCCACAGTCCCAAGGAAGATCCTAAATAAATCTTAGGTATGGGTCATATCTGAAAGGAATGAAGATTTCTTAATGTACAAAGTAGTTACTGTTTGTCCTTTATTTTCAAAGAGGACCAGTGACATCACAGGATGATGACTTGACTTGTGGGTGAATTGGATTTAAGTGGGGCAGACTTGCACAAAGTCATCAGCCTCACTCTCTCTTCCAGAGCCATTGAAGTCCAGTGGCAAGACAAAAGTCAGGACAACTAGCAATGGCCCAGGATGCAGTAGATGATTTTAATGTCTGTGATGTCAAACCAAGCTGTAAGTGTTCCACAG